AACGCGGTTTGGTGAAATTGAATGGTAATGGTGAAGAGGCTTTGGTTTGGACAGAGAACTGGATTTTTGATTCTACTCCAAGGATCCCAATAGAACGCCCTGGGACGATGGAATGAAGTCCTTGTTAGGCAGTTGTTTATTGAAAAGGATGCGAGATACATCTTGAAACTAAAAACATCTCCTCTGATTCAAGATACGTTCATATCGGGTTTCTCGAAGAATGGTGCTTATACTTCTCAAAGTGGTTATAGACTAATTGAATCGGATCCAGAATCTCAAGGAACTCCGACTACTACGCTCCCACCATTAGAGAGGAAACTATGGTCAAGCCTGTGGAAGATAAAAACAACTCCAAAACTGAAACATTTTTTTTGTGGAGAGCTCTAGCTGTATCGGAAAGACTACAAAGCAGAGGCATACCATGTGCACTTCCTGTCTAACAGAGTCTGAATCGATTTGTCATGTGCTATTTCATTGCAAGGTGGCTCAAGAAACGTGGGAACTATCGGGCATTCCTCTGCCTGCGTCTGGTTTCTCGCGTACTTCGGTCTTCTTAAACCTGTACCATCTGAACGCTTAGAAGCACATACACGCCTTATATTCCCCTGGATACTATGGCGGCAAGTGTGGAAAGCGAGGAACAAATTTGCATGTGTTTGAGAAATTTCGATTTGACTCCTTATCGATTTATACGAAAGCAAAAGAGGAAGCAGAGATTTGGTTACGGATTAACTTGCCGGATCAAAGGGAAAGGAACCCGACATCACAACAGATGGAAGCTACGTCATTGTGGCTTAAACCTCCGCAAGGTTATGTCAAATGTAATGTGGGAACCTCCTGGATTAACAACCATATGAACAGTGGGGCGTCTTGGTTGGTACGTGGTCATCTGGGCAAGCCGTTAATCCATAGTCGTAGAGCCTTTTCAAAGGTGGGATCAAAACTAGAAGCCGAACTGCTGAGTTTCTTGTGGGCAGTGGAGGGTCAAGTTAACTTGCACATCAAGAAAGTCATGTTTGAAGTGTCATCGATACAGATGGAGGAAGCATGTCGTAAACCTCACCTCTTTCCCAGGTTCAGGCATGTATTATCTTCCATCCTGCCTCTTTTACACTCTCTTGAGTCCTGGAGTATTGTAGTTGTCCCCACAGCTGGGAACTTATGCGCAGACGCCATTGCGACCAGTGTTACGAAGGACCGCCGCCATCAATCCTATGTTGCTCGTGATGGTCCTTCATGGCTTCGTGTTCTCATGGAGGCAGAGGCCACCATTCGACATGAGAACATTTGATGTCCAATTTCTGATCTTGATTTGATGATGGTGATGGCCATCCAAGGTTTTGGGATATTCCTCGTCATCCCGAACCTGAAACTTTATCGTTTTTGGTTGTATGACACCTATTGGTGCCCTTTTGAATCCTTGTAACTCTCGAGTACCGGCTTTCGGTTAAATAAAAACATCTTTCAGCGTTAACAAAAAAAAAAGACTCGGCTTCTATTATGTAAAATTTGGCAAACACTACTTTGCTAGTTACATTATGGGTTCAATGGTCTATAACGGACAAAAGGCAATTTCGTATCAGACTTTGCCATAATACATATCACAGTTTTTTCCCGAAAAAGTCAATAACTATTGGTTTTTTTCGTTCCAAGTTTCAAAATCTTCTGCACAATTACATATTCATATGAACGATATATAACATAAAAATTCTGAAATAGTCATTAGCTTACTAATATTCATTAACATAGACATTGGCATTAGCTTTAAAGAATCAATAGCATAGAAATAGTCATTAATTCAGTACAACTACAGTAGAATCCAGTTATGTATTTCAACATGATGAGGTCATCACACCAGAAGGTTAATCAAAGGCCAACAAAGTGAAATCTCAAACCGACTAGAAGTTAGCAAGAACATAGATGCCTTCCAATGAGTCTACTTGACAAAACCAGGCGGAGTTAAGTGACAAACCAACTTTTCCCATAAACTTAACTCATCAGCAAATCATGTCAAACTTAATCCATCCCAATATGAATTCATATGAAGAAGTTATGAGTTTTACAAATCGAGTAAATTATAACTTACTATGCATTCATTAGAGCATTACTGAGTAAATAAGAAAGGACTAGCTATGAACTGACTGATTACATATTCTTGAGCCATTAAAGACATGTGGGCGAATCAGTTTGAGGCCAAGACTAGTTCAGAATTGAAAGTTACTAATTTTCTAAACCGACTTTCTTCATATTTGCTTTATTTGAAACCCTACGGGTTTTGTTGACTTGAATAAGTTACAAGATTCAAGCTTTTTCTGATTTTATCAACTATTTTACTCTGCAGGTTACAGAGATTACTGAATGGTAATTAACAAATTAATAATTCCATGGGGTTCTATCGACTTGGTTGAAGAAGGACTGCATATCACTGTTACAAACTTTTATTAAATCATTCAACTGAGATTTAATATAATAAATTTCAAATAAAAATATATATAGTCTCAAATGTTACATTTTATTAGCTCGACCAAGTAAAACCAAAGGAATCGAATACATTAGCTTTTGTGTTCTTTTCAATTGATTTAGCAATATATTAAAACTGAAATCACACTGTAAACAAATTAAATAATTGAAGCAATTTAGCCATAAATTTCATCAATCAGTTTAATTAACAGCCGTACAAACTTTACGAATTTCTCCATTTGCCCCTGTCTTCACACCAATGTTACTCATCTTTATCATCGAGCTTGCGAACTGAGCATTGAAGTTACCTCTTGAAGCCATAAACTCTTGCACTATCCGTCTAGTCGTCGGATTAGTCCAAAGAACATGATCGGATTGAAGAATTCCTCTGCCACGACTGAGATTGTTGAAGAAGGATGTGTCAAAAGTGTTTCCACTTCCGGCGTCAAGATCGACGCGATTTGATCCATCGCCGTTTTGAGGACAAAGTCTTTGAAGTAGTGGTACAAATGTTTGGTCCATGGTTGGATCTGCTGTGTTTCCGGTCGAATTAAATATCCTATTCGTGAAGAACCCACATGCAGCTGTTCCAATCGTGTGTCCTCCTATGAAATCATATATTCATATTCAATAATTGGTTTTTATAATAATAATGTTGTTAACATTCCGTTCAGAGCCTAGATACTTCGAACTGAAAAAGTCATATATAATATTACTGGAAAAAAAAAAGATATAGATAAAAATCGAGTTTAGCTTTAGTACGGACAGAATGATAAATACTATTTTTTCTTTCTATATCTAAAAAATACGAACTATTAAAGTGAAAATCAAACTGTGAACACTGGGAATTTCCATCCAAAACAATCTATTGGATCTGTTATATAATTTGTAAGCGATGAGTAATCTAGAGTTTTGTAAAAATCCTAACCAACAACAGCGACGAGATCGCGAGTGTTGAGGCGAAAAGCGGCGAATTTCCTTTGTTGAATGGCGACGGAGTCACTTGGGGAGGGAAGATTGTTAACGTTCGCTGCCAAGGAAACTCGTCCGTCTCTACGTCCTGTTGGGACTTGCCAGCTTTGTCCTTTCGTCTACATTGCACCCATGCAAAGCCACGTAAAACGTTAATAATTCTTTCTCCGTTTTGTTTTCTTTTATAAGATCTTTTGAATGGACACACGAAGATTGAGAAATTTGTAACCCTTTTGACTGATACTAATTTAATATTATAGAGATAGTACTAAGTAAACTGCCAAATTTTGTTTCAATATGTATGTATTTTTTCACATTAGTCTAGTACTTAAGCAATTATTTTTTCAGTTCTAAACGTAAACGGTGCCGAATATTAACAAATGAAAAGAAAGAAATACGCAAAAGAAAAAGCGTTAAAACAATTGAAACATAGTTATGTGCTTTGTATGATATTAGAGCATCAGTAACGCAGAAATATTTAAGGGGTCTTAACATAGAAATGATTAAAAAACTATTTTATGGGATGAAATACAGATGAAACGGGTCTGTACAAGGAAACGGATGAAACCGAGTCTTCAGGACAAGTGTCAATTTTTTATTGGACCGGCCTTAAAAAAAAACTCAGATCTGTTGTTGGGGGAAAAAAAAA